AGCGCCCGGGTTTTGTTTAATCACCAAAATTTTCATTGCATCTGGCAAACTGACACAGTGGTAACCAGAGCGGCCTTTAAAGAGATTTGGCTAGAATTTTTGGGGGGTTTTCAGGTGAAATTTTTTTGCAAAATTTGAACTGATACAATGAAGGGCTTCAGTTTTTTTGACTGAATCCAATCAAAGTCCCCAAACGAACCCTGTAACGGTAAACACCTTGGACATTAGGCGTCTTGCAATGGGTAGTATTGTGGTTTTCCAACGACTGCCAGATTATGCATATCCTTTCCCCACAGATTCTGTAGTTTTATCCTAGTTTCTTTAGCATTTTTTTAAATTTTCAAAAAATTTGGGGACAATGCCGGGACAGCAATCTACTGGTAATGATTAGATGTATGATAGACATGGGAATTTTAAATCTTACTTGTAAAACCGGTGGCACAGTACTAGTCAGACAAGTTGATTGCTACGTGTCACCACGGATCCCATGAAGCTAAAAGGGATGTACCCTGTAGCATGAGCCTGAAGCAACAGAACAAAGGGCCTAGTTTGGGGGGGTTTTTGTAAGGTACTTGGAAAAAAAAAACTTGACCAGAAGGGAAGGTTTATGTCTAGGCCAAAACAACTGAGTGTCTCCCTCAAAAACCCCGACTTTTTTTTTGCAAAAATGTTTGGGCCTTTAGGTTGATTCTAGGCCACTGAAGATGGAGTTTTTTTGGAAATTTAAAGCAAGAAAAAGATTTTGGCCCTTTTGGGGGTTTAATCCAAAAAAATTTTTGCTTATGTAATTTTAAATTTTAACACCTGAATCCCTGGAACATTGCTACGATCAAAAATGGGTTATCTTTAAGTCCATTTTCATCAACATGGCTGCTTCATTCATTTTGAATATCTTTTTGCAGAGAAGGAATTTTTTCAGTGAAACTTACAGACTTTGTTTTTGTGAGGGATTATAGGGGTGAGCATAGCTGCTTGCCAAGCAGTTGACCCCGGGTTCGAATCCCGGCCATTGCAAATTTTTTTTTTGGAAAAAACGCAAAAAATGCACTTTCCCACTTCATAAGGTTCCAATACATTGACACAACAACAAATGCTTCCCTAAAAACAAAACCTGCAGCACAGGGGGTTTTTGCAAAATAGCCTTAATACTAAGTCCATTTATTAAAGTCCCATCTTCAGATGAGAGATTGTTCTTACAGAGGGAAAAACCATCTGCTGAAATTTTTGCCTTTTTGTTGCGATGATGGTATAGTGGTGAGCATAGCTGCCTTTCCAGCAGTTGACCTGGGTTTTGATTCCCCACCATTGCCGTGTTTTTATTCTTTTATTGCTACTGGGAGGGAATCATAACTGATTCTACATTTCCTCTTACGACACACTGGAATAATAACCTTTTTCAATTAAATCCCGGTTCCATTGTTTTCCCCATTGGCTGCTCCAGGTTAGCAGCCAGTTTGTTTATCAGGCCAAATTTACATTGCATCTGGCAAAACTGACACAGTGGTAACCAGAGGGGGGTTTTTAAAGATTTGGGGCTAGAATTTTAATTCAAGGGGCCTTTTCAGGTGAAATTTCTTGCAAATTTGAACTGATACAATGAAGGGGCTTCAGTTTTTTGACTGAATCCAATCAAAGCCCAAAAACGAACCCTGTACAGGTAAACACCATGGACACTAGGCGTCTTGCAATGGGTAGTATTGTGTGATTTCCAACGACTGCCAGATTATGCATATCCATTCACAGATTCTGTAGCTTATTCTTAGTTCCTTTAGCATTTCTTTAAATTCAATGGAGATTACAATGCCGGACAGCAATCTACTGGTAATGATTAGATGTATGATAGACATGGGAATTTATAAATCTTACTTGTTAAAATCAGGTGGCACAGTACTAGTCAGACAAGTTGATTGCTACGTGTCACCACGGATCCCATGAAGCTATGAAGGGATGTACCCTGTAGCATGAGCCTGAAGCAACAGAACTAAAGGCCTAGATATGGGGTATTGTAAGGTACTTGGAAAGAAAAACTTGATCAAGAAGGGAAGGTTTATGTCTAGGCCAGAACAACTGAGTGTCTCCCTCAACAACCCCGACTTTTGGTTGACTAAAATGTTTGGCCCGGGTTAGATTCTAGGCCACTGAAGATGGAGTTTTGTTGGAAATTTAAAGCAAGCAAAATTTTGACTGTTTGGGGGTTTAATCCAAACAAATTTTGCTTATGTAATTTTAAATGTAACACCTGAATCCCTGGAACATTGCTACGATCAAAAATGGGTTATCTTTAAGTCCATTTTCATCAACATGGCTGCTTCATTCATTTTGAATATCTTCTTGCAGAGAAGAATTTTCAGTGAAACTACAGACTTTGTATTGCGATGGTGGTATAGGGGTGAGCATAGCTGCTTGCCAAGCAGTTGACCCGGGTTCGAATCCTGGCCATCGCAAATTGTATTTGGAAAAAAATGCACTTCCATTTCTTAAAGGTTCCATACATTTGACACACAACAAATGCTTCCCTGAAAAACTAAAACCTGCAGCACAGGGGTTTTTGGGAAAAAATGCCTTAATACTAAGTCCATTTCTATAAATTCAATCGAGATTACATTGCCGGACAGCAATCTACTGGCAATGATTAGATGAATGATAGACATGGGAATTTATAAATCTTACTTGTGAAAATCAGGTGGCACAGTACTAGTCAGACAAGTTGATTGCTACGCAACCATAGCGGCCTTTGAAGAGATTTGGCTAGAACACATTTAAGGCCATTTCAGGTGAAATTTCTTGCAAATTTGAACTGATACATTGACGCTAAACCCAGTTTTTTTTCCAGGAGTATGTCTGTCTTAGCTACCCTACTAGAGGTAAGCTTAGTGAACTTAATGAAAATGTATTTTTAAAGACCATAAATAGGTTTCATCTTTGAAAAGAAAACCAAAAGGGAATGTGTTAAACATGTATAAGGATGTCTATCTTTTATCTTACAATGTTTAGTGCCAAAATAAGTATAAACTTTGACGCTTAAACTATTACTCTGTATCGCCCTGTTGACACAAAACAGAATGGTGTCATTAGTTGTCTGAATGGAAAAATTACACAATCGACAATTATGTCTGTGTCAAGTGGTTGCAGGTGTTTGTTGGTCTTTAATTGGAGCCTTTTAGCTCAGGTGCTAACACCAACAAAGATTGAAGTAATTTCTTCCTTATTCTGGACTTTTGTTTTTTTAAATTAATGAAAAAAATTCTTAGAACAATTAACAGATATTGATGTCAGTTGTGAATCTCACTAGAATCATGTAAAGTGAGAAAGACAGCTGCAGCAATTTTAATTTCCTCCTGTGTCTGCTGACCTCCAGCTGTATAGTTCTCCTTTAACACAACATTTATGGCTGCCCTGATCTTTTGTCCCTGCACAGTTGCTGTTACTTCCTGTTAGTCAAACATATCATTAGCCAAGGTTATTTTGATGCTTTTTCCACTTATCACATGTATTTCAGAAGAATATACCGTAAATTTCGGACTATAAGCCGCTCCTTTTTTCCCACACTTTGAACACTGCGGCCTATACAACGGTGCGGCTAATGCATGTTTTTTTTCATGCCGCCAAAATATTTCGCCTGGTAACCGTAGACCAATCAAATTGATGAGTAGTTCAAAGAGGTTTAATGAACTTGTGCGATAAATCAAGAGCACTTTCACAATTCAGTTACCAGTATTATAAAACAGACTTTTATATTCACCCTCATCAACATGGAAAATCACCAACGGGTTTCGAAAGGCTGGACTGCTGCGTGATAAAGGGGACCGGGTGCGCTCAAGTGAGAGCGTCAACGAAGAGGGTGAAGTGAGTGACGAGATCCTGATGCTGTTCAATTCAAAAATGAAGAACAGGACTTTGATGGTTTGAGTGCGCAGGAAGAAGATGAAGAAGGCGATCGATGACTTTTGACCTGGTAGGCTGCAGTGTATATCAGTTAGGAGACATTGGAATGTTGTTCGTGCACTGTTCAGTAAAAAAGCATTAGCAACGTAATTTGTGTGTTACTGCTAACGTACGTATATTTCAAGGTAGCCGTGTTGCAGGCACTGTTCGAAAAAAAGCATTTGCAATATGCATTTGTTTATATTACCATTCGGATTAAATTAAAATTTAAAACCTCACGTGTAATATCTTTCTGTGTAAGTATCTCATATTACAAAGTGGGACACCCGCGGCTTAAAATCCGGTGTGGCCTGTACAAGTACAAAATTGGTTCTTTCTAAAACTAGAGCATGCGGCTTTTAATCAGGTGCGCTCTGTAGTCCGGAATTTACGGTATGTCTTTTAGAAACAGCACAACATGCTGCGATTGAAAAATGGTTGAAAAAAACTGCCATTTGTGACAAGAATTGAGTTTTTATGCTAACTATGTTAGCTAGTCCAAGGCATATTCATTGTTAAATTAGCTCTAATGGTCATTGTTCCTAAGAAGCTTGGGAACACACTCATGTTTCAGGGCTTTTTATTGTTTAGTCTTCTCATTTAAAATGTACTGTCAAAAAAGCACATGTATTGATGTCCTTAACAAGTGAATCCCTATTTATATATTGCAACTGCTAAAGCACTTGACCTAACATCCTAACCCCCTCTTGTTTCTTTCTGTTTTTTGATGGATCTCTGCCAAGCCATACAACAATGAGACTCCACTGAGGGCTGATTACAGTGGTACTCAACAGAATGAATGAAAAAAAATGTCAATGCTAGTAATGTGTTAGTGTGGACATCCACATGTTGTGATACAGTTCTGTATGTATACACATACAAAACATGAAGACAGGATAAAGGTCCTTGTAAGAGTCCTAACTGTGAAAAAATCATACACAATGTCATAGGTTTACATAATGCTGCTGTCTTTAACAGAGTGCCAAACTGATTGTGTTGAGTTGCTGAATAAAAACACATGAAATATTTTACTGGTTTTTCATCTTTCTGATATCTTTTCAAGCTATGTCTGTGCTAATGTTAGGTCTTGTTCAAAATAGCAATGGTAGAATGGGTCAGAATTTACTCCAGTTTACTGCAGAAAATACAAAAGTCATTGTTTTAGGTTCCAAAAAAGAACTTCACTAAACTCCATGGGGCTAAAGACTACAAAGTAGGGAAAACAAACTATCATCATTGTTGGAGCTACTTAATCCTTATTTTTTACTACTTTGAATTTTGTTCAAATTTATTCTTAGTTTACTTTATATTTTTTGGGGTTATTTATAGGGTTTAGTTGTAGGTCAATAATGGTTTATATTTTTTGTTTCTTTGTCTTTGTTATTTTATTTATGTATTTTTTGTTAGAGGAAGAACTGTGGGTCCATTTCCTATACGTAGAGGGACTGGTATAGGACCAGCATGCACTGGGGTGGGGCCTATGGTTTTTTACCAGAGCAGGAGAAGCAGTGGGAACAAAGAAAAGTTTGATCTCTATTATTTGCTTGCCAACTGGATAAATAAACATTAAAAAGCGGCCGTCACGTTTTTGGACATTGGACTTCTTTTGCCTGCGTACGAAGCATAACCCCAGAGCAGTAGTGGCTTGTTTGAAATTTCAGGATGTTTGTTTGTTAAACCATCGCCACTACATAAAAAGTGAAATACCACCCCTGGATCGTAAAGGAATAATCCCTCATCAATGGACTTGTTGGATGTATGGATCTCAAGGATTACCTTCAGACAAAGTTATTGGAGCCTCTTATGAAGAAATCAGACGACTTGCTGCGTCAGGCTTGGATCAATACATCACTCATTCATCAAAACTGGTACGTGGCAATATTGTGCAAGCCGTAAACGGTGAAACTATTGGAGTTTAAAGACATTATTTCACTGCAAAGACTGATGAGACGAGTTATGATGTGTCAAATTGATGCGTAATTGGATCAAGACGTGCCAACGCCCATCATGAAATATTTCTTCTCAAGAATCGACCTTTTTAGGTTTTATGCTATATGCTCTCAGTGGATTATGCAGTTTTGAAATAATTCAAAAGATCGCTGAATATGTCCGATGTAAAGAGCAAACAAGAGAATGACACAGATGTCACAAGAGAAAAGAAGCATCAAATTCACACAAAAGGGTTTGAGCTTTATATAAAAACATGTCAAGAAAAGCGGAGTTTAAAATGTTAACAAGCTTCAACGTTTATGGAGAAAATATCCGCGTTAATGACGTCACAAGAAAATTTCAAGGAAGTGCCTTCTCATCCACCTCTTCTGCTCGCATTAAAGCTGCGGCTGAAAAAGCAGCAATCATGGAGCGATTCGCTGCATTGAATAAAAAG